CCCCAGACCAGATAGAAATGGAGAGCTTCGGTGTCTAAAAGGATTTTATGCAGCAAAAAGACCTTGTCATACAAGATGATGTGGCTTAGACAATATGCCTTGCGGCAGTAGGGGTGTCCTTTTAGTTAATCTTCTAAGATCCCGTGTGGCAGAACATTCCAGGTGCTATTGCTTTGTGACAAATTTCTCTGAAACTTCACGGCTTAAAACAATTCTTTGATGATGCAAATAGATTCAGTGGGTCAGGAATTTAGAAGGGGCGTGTGTGGTCCAGCTCGTCCCTATACCCTAGTGTGTGGACCTCACGGGGGGAGGCTTAGAGGTGCAGGCTGACTTCACAGCTAGGGGCAGGAATCATCTGGAAGCTTTCTGCTCCACACATCTGCAATTGATACAGGCTTCCAATGGGACCCCCAGCCCCGGCACAGCCCCCAGTGTGTCCTGGTGAGCTGTCATGGTCTCCCTCACGGCGTGGTGACTGACTCCGAGGGGCAGGAAAAAGCTCCCAGCTTCTTAAGGTCTGGGCGTCCACTTTATTCTCCTGGCCCAGGTAGTTCCATGGTTGGCCCAGCTGGAAGGAGCCGCAGAGGAGCATGTCACAAGATCCTTGTGGGGTAGGAGATAGTATGGTCGCCATCTTTGAAAATACAATCTGCCATCCAGCCACATTGGTTTTGTTGTAAGCTGAGAAGAACATTTATGCTTTTCTTTACAGACCAAGAAAAGTCTCTGTGGATTATATCATTAAATTAAACGCAGCCATTAGTGTGCGACTCTTGGGACACTGTGGTAATAGGCTATGCCTTGGGTGATTTTGTTTTCCCTTCTAAATGTGCTTCCCAGAGCTAGAGTTGCCCAGCCGAACCCATTTCTCTTTACTAATATAACATTGCACAAAGATCTCATCATCTTTATGTGGCAGGGTCGGTAGAATAGGTGCGAGCCACAGTCTGGGAGGGCAGGTGGCTCCTGGCTAGGCCGCCCGGGGAGCAGGTTTCAGGAGCGGAGGATTCACTCCCTCATAGAGAAAAGCAAATCAAAGGTTTGGGTGCACTTGGTCACCCTGACCAGGATGGCCACCGCTACGAAGATTGGCCTAGCTTTGTTGACTGACACTAAAAAGAACGTTCACCTTGCCCTGGACATGACCGCTACTGACGCCCACGCAGTAGGCTCGGTTTGTTCAGCTTGAAATATTTACCTTCAACATCCTTGGCTCCGAGACTGTATCCAGGCGCTGAGAAATGGGAATGAGCCACAGCCCCCCAGGAAGACCTTCCTACCAGGGCAGGGCCCTTAATCCCCCACACTTATGGGCACCTGTGAGGGGCTGGAGAGTGAGCGAGGCCATGGAGAATGTGAGAATATACAGCAAACGGACAAGCAGACTCGCATGACATGGGCTATGAGGAAAACAGAGGAGACAGTGCTGGAACACTGCCTCAGCAGAGCGACCCACGGCTCTCAAGGCTGAGGAGGGAGGGCCTTGGCGGACTCCGGGAGCCACACCCAGAGTGGGATGCACCAGGGAACAGAAGACAAAGGTAAGAGGCGGTCAGGGCCACGTCAATGTCGTGCCAACTCCTGTCCATCCACTGCCCGCTGAACTTTCCCGGCAGCCTACTAAGGAGGTTCCACAGTCATTTGCACAGAAAGGAAGTAGGCTCAGAGAGCTAAAATGAGCTGTCCCAGCTACACTGGTAGGTAGTGGAGCCAGGGTTTGAACTTGTGTCTCCCTGCACCAAAGCCAGCCGCCTGCCTACTGTGTGAGTCCGGAGAAGGGTTTGGTCAGTATCCCTGTCCCTTCCAAAGGGACAGGCTAGAAACATCTCCCATGCTTTGTTGCCTTTCCCCGACTCCCTGTCCAGGCCATGGTTTCAAGGTGAGCCAAGGAGCCCCAGAAAGAAGAGCAGTGAACTGATTTATCAAGTGCTCAGTGTGTGCCAAGCAGGTCCAGGTATATTTGTCACATGTGTTCATGTCAGGTGTCTGTATGATGTATTTATCCTGGCTCCCCAGTGCCGTAGCGCAGGAATCTAAACCTCATTTTATAGATGAGAACTTTGGTGCTCAGAGCAGACACCTTTGGGTTTGAACCCAAAGCTGTCTGATTCCTGAGCCTGTGTTCTTTCTGACGTACCTCACTGCTTCCAGCTCTGGAAGGAAGTAGGCAGGGATGTCCTTTGTGAGCAGGTTCCAAGCTGGGGTGGGGACAGTAGGCCGACACAGAACTTATCCCAACTCCGGCCGAAGGGAAGGGTCCCAGCTGCCTCTGAGGCCCATTTGTGCTTTGGATATAAGCCACAGCCTGCTTGCTAAAGGACTGCATCTCTGAGCCTGAGGGCTGCCCCAGTCTCCAGATAGGGCTGGATTTGAGTCAGAGCCTTCTTCACTGCCCAGCCTAGCCACTGAGTAGCCTCTGGCCTGAAATGACAGGCTTTCCAGTAAGTGCCTTGCTGGACCACAGCCCAGCCATGTGCTGGGAGGGGGCCGGAGTGGAGAACAACCGAGAGAAGCATCCAGGAGCCAAGAGCAGGGGCAAAACCTTGCCAGCAAACCTCAGTGAACTGCCTCTCAGCCGGCCGTATCGGGTGTCCCCAGAGATGTCATGGGGCAGAGCTAGTCACGAGGAGCCCTGGCTGCCATCCTGGCCTGGCCCAGAGGACACAGGGCCCATGGGGTGAAAACACAGCCCAGGGCAGGATTCAGAAATCAGATCCTGCGGCCTCTCTCTGCCTTGAGGGCAGGCAGCTGAGAGTTCTCAAACTGAAACTGATCGGCCCGAGTGGGGCGCAGTCAGATCCAAGGCTGTTTGTGCAGAACTGAGAGGCCACGTGTGCAGGGGGACACATCACACTCGGCTGGAGCTGGGCCAGTCCTGCAGTCTAATCTTGGGTGCGTCCCATCGCCTTACTGGGGACCCCAAATCGGTAAGATGATGGACCTGGAAAATCCCTCCAGGCCCTTAAATCATCAGGTTCCGCAGCTCTGCATTATAACAGGAGGCCCCCCGTGCAGAACTAGCACAGGCTGCAGGCCAGCACCCCATGGCCTAGGCCTGCCTCAGCCTTCTCCACCCCTCTGAGGCCCACCAGCGTCCCCTGCCTGAGCCAGGGGGAAGTCCTTCCCGGGAACCTTGTCCAGCCTGACACTACAGGGCCGGGAGCTGGATCAGACCAGCAAAGGAGCCACTGTCTGGTTGGGGGTATGTTTCCTTCCTGTCCTTAAGCATGAGAGGGGCTGCCTTTCTCAAAGCTCGGAGCTAACACCTAAGCCAGTCACGTGACTTTGCCAGCCCACCTCTCCCTCCTCCTCTCTCCCTGGCCAGCGCCCCCTTCTGGTGATGGTCCTGCCCTTGCTCTTCAGTTCATTTCTAAGCCATGCCCTTTGTCAGACTTTGCATGGCCGTGGATTCTGTCTATAAAGTCCACACAAGTGAGCAGTTAGGGACCCTTCTAGCTGAAGAGCCAGGATGTTAACTCTGAACGTGGGAGATGCCCAGACTTGGTGGCACCCAGCGACCCTCAGCCGCTCTAGAGTTTCCACTCCAGAGGGCAAAGCCTGTGACTCAACACTTTGAGTCTCTGCAAGGGGAGGGGGCAGTTCTTTTTCTTAGGGCTGGCTGCACAGTGGGTCCTCTGCACCCCCATGTTAAACATCAGTGGATTCAACCAACTGCAAGTCAAAAATAATCGCATCTGCACTGACTTGTTCTTTTGTTATTCCGTAGCGCATACAGTGTACTGACTATTTGGATGATATTTACATTGTGATTGGTATCCTGAATAATCTAGAGGTGGTTTAAAGTACATGGGGGATACATATAGATTATGTGCAACTGTGACGCCATTTTGTATAAGGGACTCAAGCATCTACAGATCTCGACATCCCTGAGCATTCTAGAACCAGTCCATCTAAGAGTACGGAGAGGCCACTGTCCTCTGCTGGAAAGGAAGCTGCTGCTGCCTGCAGTGACACTGGTGGCCTTAGTGAGAAGCAGCTACCTCTTCTAGGAAGTCCCCCCAGCTGGCGCCAGGCACATCTCTCTCGCTGCACTCCCGGCTCCGGTTGTGTCAGACGAGGTCTTCCTCACTACTATCCTGCCTCAGTCACAGCGTGGAACGTAGCATTTTGCATAGTGATTTCAGCCTTTACTCCCGGGACCAGAATCTGACACCCAGGGACAAGGACAGGTGTATGGCTCCTCCTTTGTGCACTGGCTGACCTAGAATGACAGTGGCCATAACATTTTTGGTTTGTGCATTTGTTTGACTTCTTTACCCCCAAGGTCCTCCACTTTAATGGAAATAGGTTTCTGGCTATAAAAATTAACCCAGAGCTGAAGAAATAAAAAAGCACCTGTATTCTCAGCCCTCGGAGACAACCACTAGAAATCACCCAGGCTCAGTGCAGGTCACACGACAAAGAAATTATTCTGTGCCGCTGCTTCTTTTGAAATGGATCCGGGACTATCTTCCAAGTAAATAAACGCTGCTCTGCCTCACCCGTGGGGGTGGCTGCATGGCGTCCATCCTGATTTATGGCTGAGCCACGCTTCACCGTAGGTGTTGGGGTCCCCCTCCACCTCCAGTGTACAGTGCTGTAGCAAATACCTTCCTGGGAAAGCGTTTACAAACGCCCTCATTTTCTCCCACAATAAAGTGGGGAATCGAGTGGATGAGTCGGGGCTGGTGTGTAGGTTGGGACTTCAGTCTGCTGCACAGAGAACAATGGGTGCCCGGCGGGCTGCACGTGGCTCCTGCCCATGGAGCAGACCAGAGTCTGGGGACTGGCTCTGGTGGCCCTGGGTCTCTCATCCCCACCTTTGCAGATTATGGGAAGAACACTGGGTCCCCTTCACCTTGCTGGTGGCACTGAACGGTACCTTGGAATCTGCCCAGGCATTTGGGGGGCCTTGGGGAACGGTGGCTTGTCTGATGGGGCTGACGGGATAGGAATGATCCTGGGTCACACCTTTGATCCGTTCCCTGTGTCTGCAGGTGGCCTCAGCGGGGCAACTGTCATTGATTCCCTCGACACCCTCTACCTCATGGAGCTGAAGGAGGAGTTCCAGGAGGCCAAGGCCTGGGTGGAAGAGAGCTTCCACCTGAACGTGGTGAGTCAGAGCCCCTCTAGTGTCAGGGGCCAGCTTTGCCCTGGGATCCCCAGAGACATAGAGGGCCCTGCCCATGGCTGCACAGCAGAGCACTCCCAGAACTAGGACTGCGGTTCTTCCATGCTGAGTCACCCTTTAAGAACAGCCTGGAGGGGCTGGGGATAGAGCTCAGTGGCACAAGCACCTGCCTGGTAAGCACAAGGTCCTGAGTTCAATTCCCAGTACCAGAAAAAACAAAAATACGACCAGCCTGGAGGTGGTGACATCCCCCGAGCCAGGCATCCTGTGGGAGGGAAGACACCACCATCATCCCTTCCTTCCCCCACGAGATCTGCTGCAGCTCTTCCAGGGCCCATTGCACACAACCGGGCCTCCCTTCTAGGGGCAGTCAAGGGGCAAATGGCTTTGTAGAGGGGAAGCATGGCCCAGACTAGAGCTGCTTTGGCCTTGAGCACCCTGTGCTGCTCTCTTGAGGTGGGTATGGAGCGGTGGCTGGGCAGAGGCCCACAGGCAGCTGGGATCCTCTCAGTTTCCATTCTTACAGGGATCCCACGCGAGGCCAGGGCCTCACGGAGGGGACAGCAGTGTGTCTGAATGGCGCAAAAGCCCTGAAGGCCAGGTCGGCCCCACTGGTCTCTTGGCCCAGACCAAGGTAGTGATCTGAGCTGGAGGTCTCAGCTCACCGCCTGGAGAGGCCACACCTGTGGACTCGGGAGTGAGAGGTGGAGATGGTGGGAGCGGAGGAGGGTCACAGCCAGACGTGCTGCAGGGCTCTGTGTCACTTGCTCCACACGTGACAGGTCCAAAGGCACGGGGCTGGGGACAGCTCCTGCAGCCTTGCAGCAGGGAGGCCTCGGCCTCTGCGGGGCCAGCACAGAGCTGGGCAGAGAGGACCCCACACAGAGGAGGGCCTGGGGCGGGCCTGGGAAAAGGCGCTCGGCCTCCCCGGGACTCAGTAGCCACACCGTCCCGTGGGAGTGACAAGGACAGCAGCAATGCCCAGTCCACTGGCTTATTGTGGGATTAAACACAACAAACGGTTGTGGCAACATTTAATGACACTAAAAAGTCTGACATATGTAGAGCAGCATTCTCGGTGTTACAGTTACCAGGATTACCCTGAGGCTAGATGTGATTCCCAGGAGTTTGTGTGAGTCCAGGGAAGTTGAGAACCCTCTTGTTCCCTCCTCCGTGGGCTGGAGAGAGACAGAGACAGGAGGGGGCAGGAGTACGTCCACAGGCCTACCTTGTCCCTCTCTGCAGACCCTGGCTCCTCTAGGCCACATACGGGCAGCAGCAGAGGCCAGGGAGCCTGGCTAGGGCAGGTTAGGGAGAGTCCTTGGAAGAAAGCAAGGAGGGTCACCTCTTGAGCTGTGACTGTCTTCTCTGGAAAAGGGGGACAAGCTCATGCATGGGGAGGCTGGAGGGAGGTCAGCTTCGCCTGTGCTTTGCTGATGGAGAAGGTCCACATTATCAAGTAATGGTTGTTTCTATCAGTAATAAAAACGGTGATCCAGGGGAGCCCTCTTGGGTAAAGGAGACAACAGGCACACAGCCAGCTGTGGGCCGGTGTCTGCCCTGCAGCCTTTGCACTGCATGGGAGCAGGTGTCAGCTTTGTTCCGCACATGAGGAGACTCCGGCAGGGAAGGGCAGAGCATCTTCCCTCAAGTCCCCAAGCCACTTCAGTGGCCCAGCTGGGATTTTTAACCTGAGCCTGGTCCTTGGCATGATGCTTCCACACCCCTGATTTGATCCCAGTTTCAGAAAGAAAACAGTAGTGATGAAGGCCAGGTGTGAGCGTGCCCTGCAGGGCCTGAGCTGGGGTCTGAGAAAGTGTCGGTCACCCAGCCGCATCTGCCTGGCTCCTCCCGCTCAGCCTGGCCCTATGCTGTCTACACCCCAGGGAAAGGCCTTTCTGGTCTCTTGCTAAGCCAGGTTGAGGGGTGGCCCAACTGGAGGAGGATTTGCCTCCCCTCAGGCTAAGTTCCAGCCAGCAGCTCCCCACCAGGTCCTTGAGCTCCTTGGGGCAAAGCCAGGTTTTGCTATGTTGGCCTCAGGCAAGGGCTGGGGAAGGGAGCCAAGGCCCTGCTTATTTGGAATGTTGTAAATGTGCAGCGGCCGCTGGGCCTGTGCTGAACCTTCTCAACTTTTGCTAGGAAAACTGAGCATGCCCCAGTGGGGCACACGCAGAGCAAGGCACAGGTGCGCACCGTGGGGCAGGGGCAAGAGGAGGGTGCGTGGTGCCCTGTCTCGAGGGCCTGGCTGGCTCTTGGAGTCCTGTGGGCACCTCACAAGTGTCACTGTCTCACTGTCCCTTCTCCTCGTTTCTGCCCTGCAGACTGGAGAAGCGTCCTTGTTTGAGGTGAACATCCGCTACATCGGAGGGCTCCTCTCAGCCTACTACCTGACGGGAGAGGAGGTGAGTGGCCCTTGGAGACCCAGGACTATGGGCTGGAAAGAGCTTTGGAAACATCCAGTCCCTCCCCCCATGGGAAAACAAGGCGTTGAGGTGGCAGGGCCTGCCTGGGGGGAAGGACCAGTTTTCCAGGCACCACCTGAAGACTCCTCCTCTTCTCTGTTCTTCAATTCTGCCACCTGGGGGAGTCTGATTGGCTCCTGATGCTGTTAGTGACTTTTCTGAGGACAACAACTGCATCTACTCAGACCCCCGAACGCATAGCACCTGGCAAACCAGGGCTGGGTTCTACGGGTGTTGCTTCTCAGGACTGGCAAAGCCAAGGCCGCTGTCATTCACCATTCTACCCCTGGGGCCCTGGTTTTGTCTTTCTCCATGTCACCCTTGCCCTTCCCTCCTGGGCCAGACCCTCGCTGTAAGTCCCAAGGAGGCAGCAGGGCCACTGCGAGCCCCAGGACCACTGTGAGCCCCAGGCTGTAAGTGTCATCGGTCAGTCTGTCTCCTGTGACCTAGACGGTGGTACTGCCCGGCACAGCCGCTGCTCTGGGGCTGGGCACCTCACCCTTTCCTGTGCTCCTCCCCCTCGGCTCAGTCCACCCTGAGACAAATAATTATGCCTGCCTCCCACTGCCTGAGGAGCCGCAGAGAATCCCTCTTCCCTCCACCGCTGCTGTCCAGAAAGTCATTTCCACCTCCCTTCAGCTGTTGCAGCAGCGTGGGCTGAAGCTGGGCATTTGGAGACGGCACACGCAAGCTTTATCTCTCCAGTTGCTTCGGGTCACTCTCCATCCGGCATAATCTCCGCAGCAGAGATTACTGCTTGTACCAATTTGTCCAAAAAAATTGTAGATGGAAGCCCTCAGCTTGGAGCCACCCAGAGCCTGAGTCTTATTTGATAACCCCAGGACGGGAAAATGACAGAAGTTGCAGAGAAAGACAGGAATGTGCTTCCCTGCCGGCTGTGGCCAGGGGATGGCATGCAGCGGAGCGGGGTGGGGGGGTGCCACTTGGGGCTCACAGGGTTGGCTTGGGGTCACCAGCCCAGGAAGAAGCTGGTAGCTCCTCAGATGACCCACTGTCCTCCCATCTCTTCTCTGAGGGCAGCTGTGGTTCTGAGCCCTTGACTCCCTAGAAGGGGCCAGGATATATACCCAGCAGGTGGCTGTAGACAGGGGCACCTGTGACTTGAGAATGGGCTCCAAGAGAGGCCCAGACAGCCCATGCCCCAGGTAGGCAGGCTCTGTGCCTATCCACGCAGCCCAAACCTGGCTGAGCAGGGCAGTTCCCCGGGGGCAGACCTGCCATTTCCGGCTGTCGTGAGCCTTTAGGTTCTGGTGTGCCTGGCCCCTGGACCAAGATGTCTGGCTCCAGACAGTGTCCTCTTCTCCCTCCCACGGCTGCCAGCCCCAGCACAGCTTTCCCCCTCCACAGTAAGAGAACCACCCGCCCTCAGAGGCCTCAAACTCAGCGTAGTTCCGAGGGTTAGAAATCCGTCCCCTCTGCAACGTCCAAGCAGCTGCCTCAGCAGGTTTAGTTGGTGGTGGGAGGACTCAAGAAAGCTTTGCTTTACAAGCACAGCAGGTCAGCAGGCTCCATCACCCGAGCTCAGAAGTGAGAAGACAGGCTGTTTCCCCTGGGCAATGTTGCTTAGGGACTTGCAGCTCCTCTCTTAAAAATACATAGTCTGTACAGACCTTCCTCCATAGCGGGGGACACTGGGTCTAAGGCCCTCTGTGGATGTCAGCTCCAGGGTTACCCAAGCCATGATAGAAAATGGCATAGTGCTCGTGTAGAACCTGCAAACATCCTCCATGTACTGAAGTCATCTCTAGATTACTTAGAATCCATAACACCACGTACACACCCTGTTCTGTATTGCTTAGGGAATAACCATGAGAAAGAAAGTCTATACAGGTTCAAGTACAGATACAATGTTTTTAAAAATATTTTCAGTCTGCAATTTTGTATTCATAAATATATAACCTCTGGTTATAAATGGCCACCTGTGTTACAGGGTTTTTATTATAAAACCAGTTGCAAGTGGTATGTTCCTGCACTCCCGTCTACTCTGAAGGCTGAGGCAGGAGGATCACCTGAGCCAAGGAATTGGCCAGCAAGGCACCAGCACAACATAGATACATACATACATAAATAAATAAGTGCACTGCACATAAAATAGAGATAAGTCAAAAGAAGAAATAAACATCATCCATAAATTTACCCCCCAGAAGAATATTACTAATATTTTGGTGCATTTCCTTCCTCTCTTATGTATCTACGTGTAAATAATTTTTAAAAGTTGAGTTACATCGTTGTGAAATATTTTTCTCTTCCTATATTATAAGTCCTTCCTTTGCCATTAAATGTTCTTCGACAGCATTGTAGTGGCTGCGTGGTGTTCCACGGTGTGAAAGCCATCGTTTAACCACTTCCCTATTGTTTGGTAGAGTGTTTCCATTCCCCCCATTCTTCTAAGCAATGTTGGAATAAATGGCTCTAAAGTTAAAGCTCTACAACTTTATTGTTTATTTCCTTAGAATACATTGCTAGGATGGAAAGTGCTGAGTCAGACGGTCAGAAGTCCTTTTGAGTCAGTCTGGCGTTTCAGAGTGCCGGTTTGAGAGGGTTGCGCCTTGAGCAGGGCTCCTGAAGCCTGGGACCCCTTCTGAGGGTTGTATCATATGGGGGCTTAGGGCAAGCCGTTGGCCTCTCCATTCCTTCCAGTGAAATGGGAACCATGGGTAACATCCCAGCATAAGAGGGAAAGAACCTTGTCCCAGTCTCACTGGGGAAACTCACCCAGGAAGTTGTGGTTTCTGGAACCAGGATTGAGGGTGGCCTCAGCTCCTAGTCCAGGGTTCTTTACAGTCCGTCCCATAATACCTTGTGTTTCCCACACCCTCAGTGTTCGCTTTCCATCATTGTCACAAAGTACCTCGTATAATCACCTTATAAGGAGGAAAGGCTTATTTTGACTCACAGTTTCAGAGGTTGGGTGGCCTTGTTGCTTTGGGCCCGTGACCGAGCAGAACGTCATGGCAGGTGCATGTGGTGGTGGAGGCCCGTTCACCTCATGGCAGCTGGGAAACAAAGGAGGCTTGGCCCAGAAACCACTATGGTGAATGATTTACAGTGAATATTTAATTGACAGCCTTCTGAGGAGGGCAACTCCATCATTTTTAGAAGCTCAGAGAGAACAAGTATGTCCCCTCAGGCCATGAAGTCAGTAATTAGGGGGTTAAGCTCCCACCCAGGCTGACTGCAGAGCCCAGCACAGCGTACTTCCCACTGGGCGCCCACAGCCTTGGTGGGTTCACCCTGCCAGCTGCAGCTCCGACCACGCCCCCCAACCTGGACTCGATGCCCTCTGCCCCTTGCTTTGCAGGTGTTCCGAATAAAGGCCATCAAGCTTGGAGAGAAGCTGCTGCCAGCCTTCAACACCCCCACGGGAATCCCAAAGGGCGTTGTGAACTTCAAAAGGTAGGACGCCGTGTCTTTCCCTGCGTGTGGCTGCATGACATGTGGCCCTGTGTGTCTTGTCTGGATGGTGGCCTGCTAACGAGGCCCAGGGGCAGTTTGTGGACAAGCAAGAAGGAGGCCTTGGTGATCGTATTTGTCAGACCTGTTCTTTTACAGATGTGGCACGAGGACAGGACAGTTCTTGTTTAGGGAGGTAAGGCCTGTCAGCAGTGCAGTGAAAACGAGCCTTAGCCAAGGACTCTCCTGGACAGGTGTCTGTCACCAAATCTGACCTTCCCCAGGCTGGGGACAGTAGCTCCTGTGTAGACATCCCACAGCGCTGCCTTGGCTCTGGCCTCTGCAGCTGCCCCCCCCCACCTCCTCCCCACCAAGGGTGCCGGAGCCCAGGGCATGTCGTTCCCTCCCCCACAGGCAGCTGCTAAGGGGTCTCAGGAGCCAGCTATTCCTGGGACAGGAATCCTGCTCTCAGGGAGCCCTCGGCCCTGTCCCTGAGCTGTGTGGAACTGTGTTCCCTGCCAGCCGGGAGTATTCCGGGGCCATCTTTGAGGCACTCCTACCCATCCAAACTGCAGGAACCCTGCAGCAGTTCCATTGTGCTGTTCCATCTCCTCAAGTGAGCTCTCATTTCGGGGTGCTTACCCCACAAGAGCAGCCAGCACTGGGGAGGGGCACCCACAGCTCCCTCTCTGCCCTGTAGCCTTAGCAGCTCCACACCCCTTCTTGTCCTGCAAAGAGGGGGCTTGGCCTGTTGGGTCCGGGCCATCTCACTGCTCAGACTCCATTTCTGCCCTCACTGATCCTGCAGCGTCGAGGCCAGCTGCTGTGAAGCCTGAACACAGATGTGTGCTCCTGCAGCCCTCCCAGGTCAGGGACGGGACCTCCCTGGCACTCCCTCCTGTGGGACACAGCCCTGGGCAGCACTCAAAGCATGGCCTCCTCCCACACGGTCCTGGCGTGTCTGATGAGGCAGTCGGGTATTTTTAGGCTGTTCACGGCTGCCGTGCTGTATACCTACGTACACAAATGCATATTTCCTGGCAACATCTCGCTTTTATCTTCTGTTGCTAAAAATGGGAGAGCGACAGAGATGGATACAAACTTGTGCGACTGATTTTGCTTCTTAGAGGAGGCCTGCTGGTGGGCGCTGGGCCCCCACTGCTGCCCTGTCCAGCGCTGCCATCGGCCAAGGGCTGCTGTGTGCACAGACAGGCCAGCCGTGACCCGTGACCTCCAGGGACCGCTGGAATATCTGGCTCAGTGACAGTGGCCTGTCCAAGGACCTCTGCACCTGAATCAGTCTCCCTGGCTCTCTCATAGGGCCTCAGATACATATAAACACTCTGCCGCCCATGCAGATGGTACAGACCCAGGTCCACTTGCTTATCTCTGTCACACATGTGCTAACATTCATGCGCAGGTCACACACAAATGCACGTTTACCCAGCTCACCCCTGCCACACCCAGATATGTACATCTCCATAACCACCAGCAGCTGTGCAGTGTGCACTGTGCATCAGACACATTGTGAGCACCTGGCATAGATTCTTTTTAACCTCACAGTAGCCACAGGGACTCCATTTTGCCAGTAAAGAAACTGGGGCTCAGAGAAGTGTGGTAACTGACCTGAGATCACACAGCAGCCAAAGGAAGTTAGAATTAGAATCCAGCTCTGTCTGACTCCAGAGTTAATGATTCCACCACACACAGAGAAGCTTTAGCCCTCCAGCCCGAGGAGGGAGAGAACACGGGCTGCAGGTTCACCTGCAGTTAAAAGGCTGAGAGGGGAAGGGAAAGAAGGCAGACCCTCCCGCTGGCCCATTAGCTCACAGAACTGGTCAGAGGGCCTCCTGTCTCTGGGATGCTGCCCGGAGGACATGGATTTGGGACATGGAGTACCTAAGATTTGGGTTTGGATTTAGCTCTACTGACTCTGCCACTTACTGTGTGACCTTAGGAAAGTGTCCCCACCTTTCTGAACTTAAGTAGCCTCGCCTGAAATAAAGATCAAGGTATCTGTTTCCATGGATGTGCAGTAAATAAGATACCAAAGCCGCCTGGCCCATATTAGGAATATATTAACAACAGTAACAAACAACAAATAATTTACATGTGCATAATTACTTAGTGATAAAAATAACAATAATTTCATGCATAATTTATACCTCACAGTAACTCTGTGAGGCATGGGTACCGAATTTCAGAGATGAGGAAACTTGAGCTCTAGGGACATGAACCAACCTTGTCCAGGCAAAGCCAAGTGGGGGAGGCAGGGCACCCAGGCTCCACCACAGGACGCCCGCTGGGCTGCTGAGCAGGTGAGGGCAGGAGAGAGGAGGAGAGGCCCTTGGGGGTGGAGTGAATGAAGATAGAGGCTGACTAGGTGCCTGGTGGCGTTTTATTGTTTTACCTTGAATGTCTCTTGGAGGCTGGAAGCATGGATGACACGGGAGGCTCTCAGAGCACCCAGGCTCCCTCTGCACTCCCAAGGTGGAGGGAGAAGTTCGCCCACGGGACACGCAGATCAGAGGGTGGGGGAGGGGCGGGACAGAGGGCGGCGGGGGGGGGGGCAGCTCCCTCTTTCCCGATGGGAGCGCTGGGGCTGTCTTAGGCTTAGAGACCCTTGAGCACTGACTGCCTCGAGGCCAGAGGAGCTCCCAGCCCTCCTCTCAAACACTTCACTGCCTTCTTGAACTTGGCTTTCTCCGTGGCATATTGGGATGAATGGTGCTTCACCTGGGTCATTAAATGCTGTAATGATGCAGACAGCTTTCCACATGCCGAAGCCGCTCCAGGAGCAGGAGCACTTCTGTTTATTATTGTCTGGGACATACGTGCGTCTCTCCCCCACGTCAGTGAAATGCCCCAGGACACAGAGATGGGGTTAAGGGGACTTCGGTTCTGTGTCTGTTGACGTCACCGGACTCCAGAGATCTCAGCCCCCGAGTCCTGCACCTGATCCGCTTCTGGGAGCCATGAGGCTAGTGAGCTCGGAGAGGAGAAGGTCAGCCCTGGCCCAGAAAAAGTGGGGCCCCTCAGGCAGCAGACAGTGACCTCCCCCCACCTTCCTGATCCAGTTCCTGGGCAGCCAGAGCTGTCACCACAGGGAGCAGAGGGCCCTCCCAGAGCCCCCAGAGGAGCCAGCCCCTCAGCCTGCCCCACCTGAGGACTCGAGTGCCACAGGTGGAGGGAGGTCGCTCCACCTGCCCTGTCCCCACCCCTGTCCTCCTCAGCCTTCCTTCCCTCAGAGTCCCGTCTCCCGGTGGTCCTAACTGTCTGACAGGAAAGACAGTTGTGATGCATATGAGGAGACTGAGTCACAGGGTAGAGAAACAGCTTTCCAAGGCCACCCCTCCTCTGCACCCTCCTCTTACACCCTGCAAAGCCCCAGGCCTGGAGACTGACTAGAAGGTATTACCCTCTCCCTGTTGCACAGATGGGGAAACTGAGGCGGGCAGGATTAAATGGCTTGCCTGGGGGACCCAGCTGATAGACAGGCAACCCTGCACCTCTGGCTCTAGATCCAGGGGATGGAAAGTGAAAGCCCTAGAGAGGCAGCGTCTGGTACAGGATATGTGTTGCAGGGAGCTCCCTGTGGTGGTCAGCATGAGTCCCGGCCTCAAAGCCCGCCTGGGGCCCCAGCTGCTGCCCTGGCTAGGTGAGCTCAGACATGTAGCATTACTGCCCATCTGAAAAGAAAGCAGCAGCCAAGGTCACACCCACCCCTCCCTGCTGGCCAGGAGGCTGGTAGCAGCGAGAACCACCTGGTTTCCTCATCTGAAGGGGTCACTGGCATGTCCAGCCAAGGCCCTGGTTTGTGATAGCACCGGCCTGAGGTGGCTGTGGGAACCTCGCCATGAGGGCTGTGAGAAGCACCATGTCCTGGGCAGGAAACCTGACCTCCAAGCGCCCTCTGCTCTCACTCCTAGTCCTGGCTTCCCCTGGGTCCGGAAGCCGCAGGGCTGTGGTCACACCAGAGTTGCCTGCCTGTCACATGCAGGTCCAAGAAATCGCAGGCCAGGTCCATTGTGTGTCCTTGGAAAGCCCTGACCGGTGGGGAACAGGGAAAGGGGCAGTGGGGCTCCTCGAACTGTTTCTCTTCCGCTAGATCAGTGATTTCAGTGGGGTCTTTGTGACCCTTGACTGTATTGTCAGTGTCACCTGTGAATTTATCCTAACTGCCAGGTTTTGAGCCCCCAAGTCTCACAGGGGCAGCCTGTTGATAGAAACAGAGAATATGTGAGTCAGACAGGCCTGGGTTCAAATGACCTTTCACAGGTCATGTCACCCCCCCCCCCGAGCCTCAGTGTCCTCATCAGCAAAATGGGGCCGGAGAGGATTTGTGGAGACTGCGTGGTGAAAGCTCCCGGCACAGCGCCTGGCACGCAGCCCAATCCCCACCTCCCAGCAGCTGCGGCTGCTCCCAGCAAAGGAGCCTCCTGGCCGGTAGGGAGGGGTGGGTGTGACCTTGGCCACTTCTTTCTTTTCAGTGGGAGCTGGGGCTGGGCCACCGCAGGCAGCAGCAGCATCCTGGCAGAGTTCGGGTCCCTGCACTTGGAATTTTTACACCTCACCGAGCTCTCGGGCAACCCCATTTTTGCAGAAAAGGTAAGTGCCCCCCACCAGCTCCCTCCCAGGACACCTTCTCCCCAGAGAGCAGGAGGAACAGCTGCTATCACAAGGTTCTCAAACGTGCCGAGTACTCGGTCCTTCTACACGGGCAGCAGGGGCATGGCTGGGGGACCCCGATGGTTATCTGTGGAGAAGCTGACTGTGCCCTGACGCGGGGTGGCAGGGAAGGGAGCACAGGCATCGCCAGGATCCTGGAGGGTGCGAGGAGGCAGAGCTCTGCCAGGGAGAAGGCTTGCACTGTCGCACATCAGCTCAGTGGCAAACCTGTGAACTATGAAATCTGGAGAAGGTACAGCTGAAATCTAGGCACCACCTGGTGTTGGCAGAAATTGGCCACCAGTGCATGCGTCCCCTTTCCAGGGACATTTAGCTTTTCCATGTGAGATGTGCCTGCCTTTTCCTCCCAGATGCCTGACGGGCTTGCGTCGGCAGCATGCTGGCGAAGTGATCCCCCTGCACAGCAGATGCCCGGGACTGTTCCCTCTCACTCATCCCCATATCTAAGGCCCCGTGGGTTCTCGGAGGTGGACTTAGGCTGCCGTCCAGTGACAGCAGCTGGTACTTGGCCCTTCTGGGAGGCCGTCCAGCAGGGGTGGTTCTCGCTGCTGCAGCCCCAGCAGTCCCCATGGGACGTGCTGTAGGTCTGGCCCTAGGCCCAAAGGAGGCAGTGTGCATGCCGCTCTCAGATGGTGCTCAGGCTCCACTGCGGTGCTCCCTCCTGGAGTTCCCCGGGGAGAGGGGCACCCAAGGAGAGCCTTTGGGTCCCCTCAGTGGGAAAGCCTTCTCTCCCTTCTGGAGGGCCAGCCTCCTAGACTGGCAAGGAGTCTGGGGGCAGGGGTAATGGATTCGCCCTCTACTCTCCTAGTGTAGGCTAGTGTAGGCTAGTGTAGGCTAGTGTAGGCTCCTCCTAGAGGCCGGTTGGCCTCTGCCTTGCCCAGCACAGCGTGAGGAAGCAGATCCACACACCTCAGCCCAGGCCAGGAGTCTGTGTCTTCACACACATCCGGGCTTTCTGCTGGTTCGGGAACCACTGCTTACGCAGCATAGGAATCTACCAGATGGTCCTCAAACTCAGGAAGAGCCTTTTTTTTTCTGGAACCAGGAACTGAACTCAGGACCTCACGCTTACCAGGCAGGCGCCGTGCCACTGAGCTATATATCCTTGGCCAAGAAGAGCTTCTTGTTCCTCGCCTCTGACACGGCGCTCACTGCCACCATCCAGATGTCCACACTGGCATCAGCCCTTCTGTCAGAGATGTTTTCCTCCTATTGAGAAGACTCTGTTCCCTGTGACTCCCTTGGGAAGCTCAGGGGCTAAGTGTAATCTTACTTCCCGATGCTCTAATTTTCTGATCCTTTGCGTACCCCTAAGCCCCTCACCCCCACCTTCCTGCTCCACTGCCCTAGAACCAGATTCTTCCAGGATGCCGTGAGAGTTCCAGATTGACCAGGACAAGGACCACACACTGGCCCTGGATAGCTGGAGCAACAGTCACCTCTGCCTGAGCACTTTCTGTGTGCTGGGTGCACTGTAGCGGCTCCAGTGCCCCCTACCCCAGCAACCCAAGGAGGTGATCTTCCTGCTGTCCCCGTTCTAGAGAGGAGGAGGCTGAGACTCAGGCCAAGCAGTGTGGCCAGGGCCGTCCAGCTGGGGAGCTGTTAAGCTGGGATTCAAGCCCACGGCCTTCTGGCTCTTCCCACAGCAGATAAGTCGAGCAGGCTGCAGGCTTTTCCTCTGGAGTCCATCCCTCTGTCTCTGTCTGGCTCTGCATTTGCATATTCTGGCTATTTTCATCCCCCCATCACACCTCCCACAGAGGTGATTATTGGCAGTCAACAAATTGGCCCAAATTCTAGAAGCACCCGCACCCTCCAGGGGAGCTAATTTAGCCTGCTTCACTGCTCACCACCAGGACAGCGGCAAATAACTTAGGTACAAGCACGTTCCCGTCCCCAGATTGGACTCCGTTAGCATAAACAGGCAGGACGTCTGATGCGGCAAAGCCGAGTGCTGTCCCCTGGGAGGAAAGGTCTGACAGCTAAAAGGCTGCTCCTCTGCCCCACGCCTTCGAGGTTAATCTGTGAGTGGTGTGGTCCTGAGGCTTCCCTCTCCCCAGATCCTGCCCCGGGTGGGACTCAGCACGCTGCCAGGAGCAGACACCCACAGAGAAGGTCCTCAGTTCCGCCTCTCACCCTCACGGCCCCAAAGGTTGTGAATCAGCGTCTGCTTGCTCCAGCAGGGGCGGCCTCTGCAGCGTGTGACTGTGTGCTCACCGTGCAGAGTGCATCCAGCAGCAGCTCCATGTAGGGAGAGCATGTGTACAGCAGGTCCAGCTTGAAGGAACTGAGAAATGCTAACGGCGCATCTTATCACCATTAAAACCCTGAGATGCCAGTTAGGGAGTAGGAGTATTGGGCTATTCATTCAGGAGTCCAAGCCTGTCCCCTGCAAGCTCTCCTGAGGTGTCTGATAAATTAATACGTTACTAGGTTGAACCATATAAAAGTATCAACTTGTGACCAAAACTTCTTTAATTATCTAACATGCTTTTTTGGTATGGTGAGAACAATTAAAATCTATTCTCAACAATTTATAAGAATGCAATATGTTGTTACTAACCAGAGTTGCCATTGGACAGATCCCTTGGTCTCATTCCTCCTAACTGAAATTTGTATCCTTGGTGAGCATCTCCACACCCCCACTCTCTCACCCTTGGTAGCCATCATTCGACTCTCTGCTTCCATGAGTCCAGCTTTATTGGATTCCACATTTAAGTGAGGTCGCATGGCATCTGTCTTTCATTCAACAAAACATCCTCCTGGTTCATCCCTGCTGTTCAAAAATGACAACATTGCTGAGCATGGTGGCACACAGCTGTAATCCCAGCACTCAGGAAGCTGAGGCAGGAGGACTGCTGTGAGTAATAAGGTACATAGTGAGTTCAAGGCCAGCCTGCATTACAGAGTGAGACCCTATCTCAAAAAACAAAAAAACAACATTTCCTTTTTTGAGGCAACTGATATTCCATTGTGCACACACTACCTTTTCCTTTGCCTGTTCGTCCACTCGGGCACTCGGATTGGTTCTATACCCTGGCTCAGTGGCTGGTGCTGCAGTGAACATGGGAGTGTAGACATCTCTTTGACGTATTGATTTCATTTCCTTTGGATGTATGCCCAGTTGTGGGATTGCTACATTTGACCATTTCTGGCCAATTTTACAAAATGCTTGCAAATGAACTATTGTCATTTATTCAACCCCCCAAAAAGGTCTGCCATGGTCCTGGGGTGGTGCTGGTACCAGACAGAGCAGTCAGCGGAGAGGCGGCGGTCAGGCTCTGCGTGTGCCCTGGGGCGAGGCCAGCTAGCCACCTGTGGGTTGGAGCCTGCAGTTCCTTGCACCTCTTTTCCTCCCGCCCTGTGGGAACTGTGTCATCTGTGAATCTGAGCCGCTGTCTCTTGTCCCTGGTCGGCAGGGGTCAGTTGGCATTTTCGGGAGGTGAAGGTGTACTGTGTCTATTTCTCCACAGGTCAGGAACATCCGCAAGGTCCTCAGGAAGATCGATAAGCCCTTTGGCCTCTACCCCAACTTCCTCAGCCCAGTGAGCGGGAACTGGGTGCAGCGTGAGTAGAGACGACACGTGCTTCCTCACTGGTTCCTGTCAGGCTTCCTGAGCCCCCAGCCAGGGCCCCAGCCCAGCATCCGCACAGCTCTCCGATAGCACCTGCCTCCCCGGCACAGGGGCCTTCCGTTGTTACTGCCACTGCTGGGGAGGATGTAGCAAAGCCCTTCCTTGAGCCCCCCCCGCCCCAGTTCCCTAGCTGCCATTTCATGTTGTGCCCACTGTGGCCTCCATCACTGTCCCCCAACCTGCAAGGTCCTCACTGAACAAGGCTCTGAGTCCTCTCCCAACCCCTTTGATCTGGCCCCTCACTCCAAACTTTAATTTTCAAAAGCAATTTTAAGCGGAGCCTAACAATAATGATGTAAAAATCGTTAATCGACCAGTCTACCTTAAACCTAGAAGAACCAGTCCTGGAATTTTTACTTGTCTCTGTTTGGAGACTGGACTTTCAATTGCGTAGTTGTTGGTCACCCATGGAACATCAGTCACGTGTGCCCCTGCCCGCTGGCACAGAATGGGGGCTGGGGACACAGTATGGCCGCTCTCCCTGGCCCATGTGATGTGCACTCCACCAAGAAGGTCTGGGAGAAGCAGGCCACCGCTCCAGCTTTGCCCTCTTGACCAAAGCCTTAGTCATGTGGCCATTGTCGACAGAAACTGGTGGTGGCGGAGCCCTTCCCAAGTCCTGCCCGAGACCGCCCCACCTCCGTGTCTCTAGGGATGAGGGAGAAGTAGACCGGAGTAATGGTTGCGGGGCTTGGGGGAATTCAGTTGATCTCTCTGAACCTTGGTTTCCTGTCCTGTGAGATGAGAGAAGTGAGCGCGCTGGGTTCTGTGTGCCAGGAAGGGATGCAGGAAGCCCGTTTCATCTCACTCTCCCAAAGCACATCTGGGTCGTCCCAAAGGAGCAATCTGAGCAGGACCTGGAGGGCCAGCTTCGGGGAGGACTCCAGGGAGACACTGCAGACACCTTTGCTTCCTACCTGGGCCTCTGGCATCTGCCAGTCTAAGGAGCCCAGAAATTTGACCAAAGAACTTCCCCTAGTGATGGCTTATCCTCAAGTGGCTTCTGAAAAAAAAAAAAGAAAGAAAGAAAAAAGAAAAAAACCACTTATTAGAAATGCAGAGTATTCTCAACCAAAACACGCTGCCAAATCCAAAAGTGTAGGGAGAAAATGAAGGCTTGAGTTACAGATTATGGTCATGGGAAGAGACAGTTTGGTAGCTGTTAACAGCTTTTAATTGCACGATCTGACTGGGTAAGGAACTGAGCTGCCCCAGGACAATGCAGCAAAACCCATAAAAAGAGATGAGAGGGGTGCGGCTTCCCAGCTAAACAGTTACCTCGCCAAATAACAGGATGCCCCACCCCCAGCTGGGAGGCGTAATTTGCTTTTCAGACTGCTCCAGGGCCCGCAGGTCTGGGCAAAGTTGGTCACATGTGGGAAATTGTTTTATATTAATAAAATATGAGTCTGCGGCCTGCTAAAGAGCAAAGGGAAGGTCATAAAACCCTGCTGATCCAGGCTTCTGCCTCCCTCCTCCCCTGGCTTTGGTGCCTGGGGTCATCTCAGGTTTTCTTGGATCCTTTCGTATGTATCTTTTCAACAGATGATCACGTCGCCACCTTGCAGAAGCTAAGTACACTTAGGCTGTCTCCCCTTGAAACCTCAGAACAAGCCTGTACCAGGCGGGCAGGGACTGTTGAATCCGTCTGCAGCCAGAAATTGCAGCACAGAGGCGGAGGAGGAACAAGGGCTGCAGCATCCCCGTTCCCTGCCTCTGCTCTTGCCTGCTTCCCACTCCACCTTAAAGCTAAGCTTCAGTGTCGCAAAAGCTCAGAACCCTGCTGCTACTGAGACTTTACACCCAGGATAAATCCACTGAGCTCCCAACGGTACCAGACACGGATGAGTCCGCCCTGAGACCTGGCCCTTCGAGCTTGGAGGGCTGCCAAGCAAGGGAACTTGGCCCCTGAGTCACTCATCCTCCATCCTAAATCCCACACTGTCTTCGGAGAGGGAAGCAGCAGGCCTAGGTTTCCCTAGTGGCCTGGGGCCATGAGCTGCCCACAGGCCCAGCCTGGCAGCCTCCCCGCTTCACGCCTGCTGGTTCCTTAGGCTGCGGCCCTGTCTCCTGTGGCCAAGTATGAGAAGAGCGTTGGCACAGGCAGGCACCAGCAGACTGCTTTTGGCTCCAGGACAACTTGCGCGCCCCTTCTCATATTTTACCGACCGGAAGACTGAGCCCCAGGGTGGACAGTGGCTTGCCCCACACTAATGCAGATGCACCCCTATAATTCCCGCCCCGTGCTTCTCCCAGTGTGCCACACGGCCACCAAGCGGGGAACCCCTTGGGAGAGCTATCCATTTGGGTCGAGTCCCCCGCAGGTGACACAATCACAGGAGGGAGTCCTGAAGCCTTCGTGATTGGCTCCTTCCCCTCTCCTGAATGCCCCTGCCAGAGTCCTGCACTGTGTTAAAGTCACCACACGAGGAAGTACAAACTGGCTTGATATTCAAGTGCCGCTCAGCGCCCCCTGCCTTCCATTCAGGGAGCGTTCCCAGGGCCTCTCCATGTGCTAGATGAGGAACAGGTTATGGTCCCCACAAGGAACTCACAATCCGGCCAAGCTGCAGACCCATGGACAGATCCTTCTCACAGTGCCGGGAGCATCCAGTGGCAAAATGTGACCACAGTCCTGAGAGGGTGGCCTTGGGTGGGTCTTCCCTGAGGCGCGAGGGCCGGATGTGCACTTGCTTTACTTAACTCCCATGGCCACCCCATCGGAGGGGCTGTGACAGAGTCATCCGCCGTGTCCTAGGCCTCCTCAGTGTAGGAAAGCCTGAGCTGCACCTGGCAGATGAGTGAGTGCCAGCCAGACAGGGTAGGGCAGGGCAGTCCGGGGCATCTGAGGCCCAGGAGCAGCACAAGCTAAGGAACAGAGGAGAGAAATCCCGCAGTGAAGGCTGCAAGCGGGATGTTTGAAGTGGCAGAGAAGAAAGAGGAGGCAGCAGGGGATGAGCCAGGCGAGGACAGTGTCTTCGGCTGCCCTGCTGTGGCCGCCCCCTCCCGGGGGAGTGGGGAGCTACCAGGGGCTGTAGGAGACAGGCCCAGTCCCACACCCAGCCTGTCTGCCCCTGCACAGACCCGCTCCATGGACGCCCCTGCTCCTGCCCCTCTGCGCCTGTTCAGGCTGCACCCTCCAGCTGTGGTGATGGGAGCCGAGGCACCATCCGGGATCTCCCCCGCTCCTCATAGGTCCCACGCCGTTGGCTCCTCCCCAGTCCTCCAGGAGCTCATGCTTTCTCCTGTCTGCTCCAGTTTTTGCACACTCGCCTGTTCCAGAGCTCTTCCTGGGGTGCAGTTTGGTCATGGATAGGCACCGGCGGCTGCAGGGCTAGTTTCCTGTGTGATCATCTCCTCTCAACCCAGTCCCTGACTCCACCTGCCTTTCCCCTCTGTGTTTGGTCCCTTCCTCTCTCTGCACAGTTGTCTCATCTTATTGCATGTTTGTTTTCACCCTCTGGATGGCTGTGTACAGTGCAGAAAGTAAGGGCTCTCCCACCTGCCAGGGTGGTAGCCTAGCACAAGCGAAGGTCTCCCTTGGTTTTCCCACCTGGGAAATGGGCCCAGTGGTGCTTACCTCAGAGGGTAATGGGAAGATGAAATTAAAACAACACAGTGACACTCTCAGTCCATGATGGACCCCCAATAAAAAAGGATCTGGGGGCACAGTCTCTCCAATCCCCCGACACTTTCCCATTCTCCTTTGTCTTCCCCCATCCTTCTCCAGAGGAGTTTCCGGCACTCTGCTGGACTTGCGCTCCTCAGTCCACCCCATGTCCCCTGACTGCCCCACTGAACAGAAATGCGTTCTTCCCCAAGTCTGTTCAGGTCCCTTATGCCTCCTGGTGTTAATTCCGGAGCACAGGAGTGGCATGTGTCCTTGTGTGGCTTTGGGGTGTGTGGTCCTCAGCAGCTGTCTCCCTCCTCATGAGCCCCAGGCCAGGAGGCTGTGCTCTGTGGGTGACTCTGGCACCTGCAACTGGTCCACTGCCACCAGGCCCGAGGGAGGGTCTTTGAACCCCATGCCCCACCCTGCACCCTACTCCTTTGAGTGCGTTTATCCCAGCTTGCTCCATTTAAACCCCCTTTCCCCCATCTCTGTACTCTGGGTCTGACCGAGTTAAGGCTCCTCCTCCTCCTCCGCATGGCCTTTCGTGAAGGCCCAGCATTATTTAGCACATTTGTCACTGGGCAATAAAATCCTCTGAACTCTGCCACCAGATTGTCTTTTAAAAGAAACACAACCCACTTACAGTTAATAAGCAGGGGCCCTGTCCTCTACAGCTGCTAAGGCGAGATGATGCATGGCCCAGGACACCTACCTCAAGGGCCCTGGTGTCCTGTGCATTGCAGGCAGTGTCTGCTCAGCCCCATTGGGGTTCAGGGGTGGTAGGTTAGATGCCAGCTCCCACAGCCCCCAACCCCCAGCCCCTAAGGTCTGCGTGCAAGACGTGCCCCCGGGTCCCTCCACAGCCAGTGGCAGATAGAGTTGACATTCCTGTCTTCTTCCCCTGCACAGACCACGTCTCTGTTGGAGGACTCGGTGATAGTTTTTATGAATATTTGATCAAATCCTGGTTGATGTCTGCCAAGACAGATATGGAGGCTAAAAATATGTACTATGAAGCCCTGGAGGTAAGACACTCGCCCGGTCCTCGTGGGTGGCTGATCATTAGCCACGGGCCCCACAGTGCTTGGGGCAGTGGGGGTGGGGCGCACAGAGGCCTGCTGAGCGCCCAGGGTGGGCTGGGGGGGTGGCAACGCAGGCCCCCTCCAGCCAGCACTTCACACTGGCTCCTCCCAAGTCAGTGTCCTCAGGAAACCTAAACGCAGGAGGTGAAGTCATTTGTCCAAGGACGCAGTCATGGAAGGAAGTGACAGTCAATCTGACTTAGAAACCACAGTTCAAAAATCCGCCCACTCCCTGCACGGACACTGAGCTTCACTTAGTGCGCCACAGGCTGTGGCGAGGAGCAGGCTGTCAAGTGAGACCCCCGGCTGTCTTCCTGCCACGCTAGGGGGGGTACAGTTAGCGTGGCCAAGCTGCTGCTCCTTCTCTCTATGTGGACAGAAATCAAAGCTCAGAGAGGAGAAGGCATTGGTTCAAGGCCACACAGCACAGGGCTGACAGAGCTGGCACCACTGCTGGGCTCTCCACGGTGTGGGACGTGCAAGGGTGGTAGGCTGAGTCCCTCCAAAGAAAGGGAGACTAGAGAGGAAGGGGGAGTCGGTTAGCCTGGGCTGTGAAGAGGAGGCTTAGGAATCCCACAGCTCGTCCATAGATACTTGGAGCCCAGTTAATGAAAGGGCACTGGGCAGGCTTTGAACCTCAGTTTCCCCATAAAGTTAATTAGGCAAATTGGGTCTGTTTTGGCACAACCTTGATCTAAGCTACCACTTATTCCTCTAAACTGAGCTCCTTCCCTTCTGCCCGACCCTCTCAACTGCCGCTCTACGCAGCAGCCAGAAAAGTGGGAAAGGCAGAGCCTCTCCGCACCCACTTCACTTAGCAGCGGGGATAAACGAGGTCCCTCTCCTCTGCTCCCCAAGTCCTGCCTGATTGGCACCCTGCTGATCGCCGTGACTTCACCTCTTTGCTCTATACTCTCTGCCTTCTCAGATATACCAAGCTTATTCTCACGTTAGGGCCTTTGCATTTGCTGTCCCTTCTACCGGGAATGTCAGTTGAAGAGCTGAGTCCCTCGTATCAGTCAGCCCTCAGCTCAAATGCTACTGAAATTACCCTTCCTGGCCTCTTTGTCACATACTCCAGGATTATTCTCTTCTTCCGCTGTAACGGTATCTACAACTGTCCTGTGTACATACTTGCTTACTTGGTCACTGTCTGTCTTCCCCAAGTGCAGTGTGAGTTACCTGAGATCAGGGATCATGCCTGCTAGTTCACCCTGTATGCCTCACTCCTGAACACTGTCTAGCACACAGTAGGTGCACAACAACTGTAATATGAACAAATGAATGCTGAATGGGTGGGTGATGGAAGGAAAGATACATGGATGGGAAGGATGGATGGAAGGATATACAAGTGCTTAGATGAGTGGATGAGATGAGTGGATGGATGGATGTATTAGTAGGTGGACGGATGTGTAGTTTGATGGCCAGATGGATGGACAGATACATGAGCTGATAGATGGACAGGTAGACTGATACGAGTGGATGGATGGATGGATGGATGGATGGATGATCTCTTAAGTACCCTTTGATTGTACACAGTTGCCCAGGAAAAGAAACACAGCGAACAGACATCCAGAATTGTGAACTGTTCCAGGCATGTCCAACCTGCATCTCACAGGCCACTTGCCCCCTTTTTAAATGTTATAATAACAATTTTAAAATAAAGTTTTCCTACTTCTGTTCCTTAACTATATTTTATGTGCAGCAGAGACGATTCCTCTCTGCTCAGTGCAGCCCAGGCAAGCCAAAGTGTTGGACACGCCTGCAACCTCAGGCGTTTTCTCCACCCAGGTCCCCAGCACGAAGACCTCAGTCCTGAGGGAGTGTGGGGACTCCAGTCTCAGCTCAGGCTGCTTGACTTTGGCTGAGCTCTGAGCGAGCCAGCGCCCCCTGCCAGAGGATTAGCCTCAGCTCTGTCTGCTGTTCCTTGCAGAGTAAACTTGAAGTTCACCAGTGGCTGATTCCCTGCCCTCGGGGCACTCTATAGTTGAGGCTTCAAGAGGAGAAATGGCCATGAATTATTTAAGCAGCCGGGAGCTTCACAGAAAGCACTTGATTGAACAGGAGAGGACTGGCTTCACTCCCACATATGATCTCCCCAGTGAGGACCCTGGAGCCGCTCTGACCCTGGGTAAAGGCTGGGGCCTCGGGCAAGTTTGGGGCTTTGAAGAATGTTCTGGTGGTTCTCACCCTTGTCAGCATGTTCAAAATCACCAAGGGAACTGTCAAATCCTGTCCCCAGGCTGCAGCCCTGCCGAGTTACATCAGAACCTCTAGGGAGTGGGATCCAGGAATAGGATCCTGGGTCCTATTGCAGTGTGCAACCAGGGGTGGGAGCAGCAGGTTAGACCTGGGTCCGGTTGCCGTGGGCGAGGGAGGTTAGGCAGGCCCCGCTGGGTGCGGAAGAGGGGCATCAAAGAGAGCAGGCAGAGTTCTGGGCACCACAGCCTCTTCTGGGCAAGTGTTCTGTGTTCTTGGCCATATAACCCCACCTTGCAGCTGATGGAAGCAAGGCTCAGGAAGGCCCGGGGTTACCCAGCAACAAAAGCCAGGCTGCAAACACCGGTCTGACTGGCTCCAAGTGCCCAGAGGAGCCTGGCCAGCCTGATGTCCCTCTTAGGAGGCCTTGGACGGTCTACTCAAAGGAGACGAAAGAGCAGGGCCAGGCACCAAGCTGCGTCTTTGAGTTCTCTCTCCTTTCATCTTCATAATCATCCCAGGAATGACTATTCCCATTTTACAGATGAGCAAAATGAGTCTTCAGAGAACGGAAATAACTTGCCCCAAAGTCACCCCCATCTCCACTTGCAGAGCTGAGGCTCAAACCCAGGCCCCCCTGCCTACTCAGCCCCTCCCATGCGTTTTGCTGTGATCTACGCCTGACCTGTCGCTCACCAGCCTGTGCTGTCCTGTGTTTTGCTCAAGGCGTACAGAAGCCTTGTTTTCATCTTCCCATCTGCTCACTGGAGTGCATCTTCAAAGAGTCACTAGCCTATAATTTCCTATTTACGACAGTTACTTAGCTTGGGGCTAACCCTACACGGAAGTAACCAGTGGGAGGCGGTCTGAAAGGTACAGATTTCGAGCTCCAGCGCGTGGTCTCTCCGCCAGCTGTCTGTGTTCTCATAGCCCAAATGCTGACAGTTGGTAACTCAGAGCCAGGTTTTGGGCCCTGGGCTCACCTGGGTCCCTGTCCTGAGCCTATACTTAGCCAGGCAGACCTGCCCAGAAGCCAGGGTCAGGCCTGCACTGACCAGCCTAGCAACTTGTGGCTGTCCAGGCCTCCTCAGCTCACTCCCAAGTGGCAGGTGCCCTGGCCTGTCACCTCATTAGCCGCTCCCCAGCTGCTACTTAGCAAGGACCCCAAAGCCAGCCTCCCCCACCCCAGCCCTGGGCCCCAGGAAAAGAGGGAAATGGAAACACAGACCGAGCAGTGAATACTGTCTGAGTCTGCATATGCCAGGCCTAGGCCGGAGGCCGCGGCTGTCAGATGCTGCTTGGCATCCTGGGAGAGAGGGCACTGCACGGAAACATTAGCATCAGGTCTAATCGGGTGTCCTCGCCCATGGAGCACTGTTCTGGAGGAGGCCTTACGGCCATGCCGCAGTCAGCTCAGCCGGGCTCAGCGTGCAGGAAGAGAGGAACCCCAAAGTGGCGGCCTGCTCCAACCTCACGCTGCAGAGCAGGGCACCCGACATTTGCACCTCTTCCCCTCAGTTCGTTTCATTCAGAATGCTGCTTTCCAGTTGTCACTGTCACATGTATTTGATCTCACTGGGCGGCCTGCCCGTTCGTGGGGAGCGCTCCGCATGCCAGCGCAGGCACAGCGCTGGCTCCCAGGAAACTCTCGGTGGCACACGAAACTGACAGGAGCGGGGATGTGAACGGAAAGGCCAGCATGGCTGCGGTTGGATGTGGTGCCAGTCGGACTGCAGGAGACTCGTAGTGGCCAGCATTGGTGGGGGACCCTCTGTGATAGGAAGTGGCCTTGTTCTGCACAGTTGTCTCACTTGATTCTCCTGGGAGGTAGCTAACACTTTCTCCCCACGTAAACATGAGCGAACTGAGGCATGGAGAACACACGGAGCCTGCCCGGTGTCACACACGGCTTGGAACTGGTGGTGAAGAGATTTGAACCCACAGGGTCTGCACCCAGGAGCCATTTCTGTAGCATCAGGGTGTACCTTGGAGTCCAGATAATGGTGTCTTGAAGCCTTGCTGGACCTTTCCCCACAGGCACTGGGAACCTAGGAAGTCCAAAGCAGGCTTCGGGAAGAGTCCAAGTGTTTAGAGTGCAGACCCCCCCGCCAAATAGATCGGAGGGCAGGAGTGCCTGCAGAGGCCTGCCGAGAGCCCCGCAGCGCTCCAGCCATAACCAGGAGCTGCAGGCCCGTCGAGTCTGGCCTTGCAGCTGTGTGAGCAGGCACCTCTGTCGCCTTGGTCTCCAGGGTTCCTGACTGACGCCTACGTACCCCAGTATCCCAGAGTCCTCACCAATAGCATCACCCCCTGAGAACCCTTCCCACCGAAAGGAGCCAGTGGCAGGTAGTAGAAGGGTGTCTGAGGGTCCTGGTCCTTGCCCTGGTGGGTCTGGGTGACCCCAGGACCAGCCACTCCACCCCCTTGTCCTGGGCACCACAGCCCATGTGCCAGGCATTAAGGAGGAAGCGAGTGATAGGTAGCTTCATTTTCTGCTTGTCCTTTTTGAAAACCTGGTAAGACAAGTAGGCCCTCTTCCTGCAAAGATGCATATCCACAGAAGCGTCGAGACCACTTTGACGGGTGCCCTGGAACCCTGAAGCCCATCCACAGGCCAACTGAGCTTCAGGCTGAAAGAGGATGCAGCGGAGCAGGAGAATCATCTTAAAAGATCTTTTAGAACGTAGAACATTAAAAAGGCTATGTAAGAGACTCGCCCCAGGGAGCAGCCTTACATCCCTCTCCCAGCGGCCATGAGCTGCACAGCCTGGGTGGCAGGACCTCTGCTGGCCCTGCCAGGGGCCCCAGCCGGCAGGGACCAGAGGGCTTCTGTGCCAGGGACAGAGGGCTCTTCAGAGCCACCCTTGCTGCTGTCTCCAGAACGTTCATTTCCGTCCTTTCCCTCCCTTCTCTGTGCTCTCCATGCCCCCACCCCACCTGCTCCCAGGCGATAGAGACCTACTTGCTGAATGTCTCTCCTGGGGGGCTGACCTACATCGCCGAGTGGCGAGGGGGGATTCTGGACCACAAGATGGGGCACCTGGCCTGTTTCTCAGGGGGCATGATCTCCCTCGGCGCTGAGGATGCCAAGGAAGAAAAGAGGGCCCACTACCAAGAGCTGGCAGCCCAGATCACCAGGACGTGCCACGAGTCATACGCCCGCTCAGGTAACCCTGCAGGGGACGGGGCAGCTGCAGAGCCCAAGGCTGGATAGCAGGAAACACTGGCAAGGCCAGCAGGGCAGCATGAGGGGAAGGGAGCCCCTGGTCCCAGCACAGTCTCACCTGGCAGGGACATGGAGGTGCGGTGAGGGACGTGTCGGCCACACCCTGCGACTGTCAGACAGTGAAGGTGTCATCAGCATTCTACATGCATCAGTGCTGTTTAGTCCTTGACACATACCACTGAACCTTACAACACAGATGGGGAAACTGAGGCTCAGAGATGGTTTGGCCAAGGTCCCGTGAGAGTGGCAGAGAGCGGGGTCCTCCATCCCCTGTGGCAGAAACGTTGGCATCCTAAGCCCAGCAAATTCCTTTACCCTAAAATGTACTAAAAGTAAATCAAAAAAATGTACTGTCCCCATCCACACCCCACGCCCTCCCTGCAAGGTCTCCCTACTTCCTGGAACCAAGTGTCCACCCACCCTTTTGACCCAAGACCACCGGAAAGATTTGGGTTCCTTGGTCCCCACCACACCCAGCACTCACCACAGGGTTGTCCAAGACAGGCTCAAGAGTCACTTTAGCAAGAGCCCATTTCCTCATTTTACATATAGAGAAATGGAGTCTCCCCAAAGAGGGAAACACCTTAACCAAAATCATACCACACATGAGCAGCGGAGCCTGGGTTAGAACCAGGTCTCCTGAAGACCACTTCCACCCCGACGCTGCCCTGCAGAAAAACCCCTGACCCCCGTCCCCCAGGGGATGTCTACCACTCTGAGTTGTAACTGCAGTCTTGGATAGAGGAGAAGACTCCTCTGCTCAAGTGCCACTCTGCCACCTCCAGCAGGGCAGCCTCTGTTTTCCCATCTCTTCAATGGGAATGAGAGCATGGGTCCCGCAGAGCGCCATGAGGAAGTCGTGAGAAAGCCTTGCGCCCCCTCCAGCCACAGCCCACAGCGCAGCATTTTGGCGCTGCCACCCGCGGTTGAGCTGCTTCTCGGAGCTGTGCCAGGAAGTCAGAGATTCACAATGGGTCCTTAAAATGGGTCTTCCATTCTGTTCATGGAGCTCACTCTGCCAAGGCCATAAACAAATAGGAAATCTCAGGAATAATAAAAAGCTAGCTATTTGTCTGGGACAATCAGCACAGACCATAAAAGACAGCCGCTTAATAGAGCATATTGTTCCGGCCGGCCTGGCTGGCCCGCGACAGCTGCGGCAGCGGCTGCTGCCCTCGACCCCTTTGCTGCCCTCACCCCATTAGCAACTTGGTAGAATGACTTTTGCCTGAGGGCCTGGAGTGGCTTCGCCATTTGAAGAGATGGCAGGGGCCACAGTCTAGCTGACCCCTCCTGCGAGAAGTCCCTCTGCAGGGTCAGCAGCAGGGCGGCCTGCTGAAAGGATTCAACCCAAATAAGGTGGCGGGGGTCAGGCAGAGAGCTGGGTGCTCAGCTGGCCTGGACAGGATGGGCAGAGGCAGGACACCTGACCCAGGCACCTTAGATTTTGGACCTAGAGAGTCAGACCTAGGGGAGGGAGAGAGTACAGCCCAGAGGGAACAGGGCACCAGACAGACCCAGGGTCATATCCCAGCTCAGCCACAACTTGCTGTGTTGCCTTGGATAAATAGCCTCTCTGATCCTCAGTTTCCACATTATTAGAGAGGGACAATAGCATCCACCTTAGCAAAAATCGGGGTTTTTTTTACTATTGAACTAATGTAAAGCACCTAGCCCAGCCCTTGAGGCCATAAATGGCAGCTGCGCAGGTGGTTATCATCGTGGTTGTGCAGAAAAAAACATGGCAACCAAGTCTCTAAAAGCAAATCGATGACAACAAAACCCAGGCCTCACCAGGCCTCCTTCATCCAGCCCCCTCTGTCTGAGTAGGTGTTTTCCTGGGCATCTTGCCTTCATCTCCACCTTAGCAGTTTCCCAAAGTGTTAGCTGTGGAAGGCTTCATCTGGGAGGTATTAAAAGCGGTTTCCAAAGGAAAGGGTCTGTGGAGAAGCATCTTCCCATGTTGTCCACATTAAAGGATCTGATAAGTTTCACAAACTGGACTATTTCACTGGGTTTAATCTGCTGTTCCCCAGATGTGCTCCAACCTGAAGCCCTGTCTTAGCTGAGTCCCGGTTAATGTCTTGTAGAGAGCTTATGCCTCAGAATACACAGTTGGAGCACGCTGCCCAAACCTTTGTCTTTCCTGATGCAGAGTAGCTTCTTCAGATTCCATTCAGATTCAGTCCAAACCTGCAGAGTTCATGAAGCCTCAGGAGCCTCTCTTTGGCCCACCTAAGCCAAGAGGGCAGCTGTGCCCCTGCCCACCACAGCCTTATGGGCGATTCAGCAGGGCCCACCCCGTGCCAGTGCATCATTAACATCACCCTGCCGAGGGCTTTTGGCATCCAGAGCCCCTCCTGAGGCAGCTGATCTGCGAAACAGGAGGTACTGGGTCTGACCAGGTCCGCTTTTGGCCATTCCCAGACACCAAACTCGGGCCCGAGGCCTTCTGGTTCAACTCCGGCAGAGAGGCGGTGGCCACTCAGCTCAGCGAGAGCTACTACATCCTGCGGCCCGAGGTGGTAGAGAGCTACATGTACCTGTGGCGGCAGACGCACGACCCCACTTACAGGGAGTGGGGCTGGGACGTGGTGATGGTGAGTGGCTGGGCCCCAAAGCTCGTGGCTCGGCACTAGGGGAAGAGGGGTCTGCATCAGGGGTCAGGGCAGAGGCTGCAGAACCAAGAGCCCCAGCGGAAGCTGGGCGGACGGGAACTGGTGAATTGCATGCCAGTGGCCCTGGCCTTGTGGGCTGGGACAGCTGTCAGCAGACTCACAGGGCCAGGGCTGGCAGCTCTAGAGCGCCACCTGGCCCTGCCATCCCAGCAAGCATGTTCCTGGCCCCAGGCTGGACAGGCAGCTGGAAAGGCCACCTCTGATGCAGGCTGGCAACTCTTTTGTTCCTCCGGCCACAGCCTGTCCCGCTCTAGGCAGCCCTTGACCACATGCTGGTCTGTGGCTTGACCTCCCCTCAGCCCTAACCACCTTACTGGAAATTCCATAGCCTTCCTTGGGGTTGAAGGGGTATCAAAGGCGGGGATGGAGATTCCAGAGGATTCCTTGATGGAGGCTGAGCCTTCTCTATCCCTCTTCCCAGCAGCAACTACGCCTTCCCTCAGGCTGACAAGGCACCATCTGTTCTCCGAGTGCAAGCAACTTTCCTGGGAGGTCCACATGTGGGGAGCGGGGCGCTTCTCAGAGTCAGACCTGGCTCACTGTCTAGTGCACCTGCTTCCCTGACACCCGGGTTCTTGCTCTTCAAAGGTCACATGTCATGTGTCCAGTCCACAGATTTCTCAGTGGGCAAAAATTGCATTTCTGTCCAAAAGGCAGAGAGGTGGTAGCCTGTGCACCTCTGGCCAGGGACTCCTCTGTCAGTGAGCTCAGCCAGTAGTGGGCTAAGGCTTAGGGGACCTTTCCTCACCCCCTGACGCTGCCTTCCTCTTCACAGGCCTTGGAGAAGTACTGCCGGACGGACGCTGGCTTCTCCGGGATCCAGGACGTGTACAGCAGCAGCCCCAACCACGACAACAAACAGCAGAGCTTCTTTCTAGCCGAGACGCTGAAGTAAGTGCAGGCCTGGCCCATGTCCGCTCTGGTGGCAGCGTGGCTCCTCCTAGGACAGGGTGGGTCCCCCACAATAGCCAGGCTCTGCAGCCACAGAGCAGGAGCCCACCAAGGGCAGAAGGCTTGGGGACCAGAGGGCTGCACCCCAGAGGTATATGCCTTACTCTGGCCCTTTTTCCTCTCACAGTGAGGCTGAGCTGGAATCTAGCCCCTCGGTACTGACCTGTGTAACCCTTTGGCTGCTTGAGGCTGTGCCTCAGGTCCCTGGAACCCTGTCCTCCTCTGTAAAATTGGAATAATGATGACAGTGGTGATATCCACATGGGTCGCTGTGGTTGACTTTCCCTCCTATGGCTCTGCAGTGTGGCTCCCGGGTTTTCCTGGGGTGGGAGGTAGCACCCTGTTTCCCCGCTGTGCCCTAAAGCAAGCCCTTGAGCTTCCCCTGGCATGGTTCCTCCCAGGAAAGTCCCCTTGCCCCAAAGCTAGAGTCCAGGAGTCACAGCCCCGGCACTGTAGCACACTAAGTGCACTGAGGGTGGACAGGGGCAACTCTCAGGCCACCCTGCAAAGGAGGAGTCAGGGGCCTCTAAGGTCCTAGCAGCGCTCCCTAAGGGCCCAGGCAGGGTGTGAAGAGTGGGGGCCCAGGCACAGCCAGCATGACTCAGGCCCCTCTGATCCCAGCACTCAGTGCTGTCATGACCATCCATGGAAGCGGCCTCTAGAACAGCAGTCAGATCCCAGCCCCTCTGTGCTGGCCATAGGCCGGTCTCAGGCCCCGAGATGCCCAGGCCCACCTTCTCCCAGCACTGACGGCTGTGTCTTGCTCCCTGCCTCCTGGCTGCAGATACCTCTATCTTCTATTCTCTGAAGATGACACGCTCTCGCTGGAAGACTGGGTGTTCAACACCGAGGCCCACCCACTGCCTGTGAACCACTCAGACAGCTCCAGCGGGGCCTGGCACCGACACTGACCCTGGCCCCTGCCACTAGGGTGCCTCAGGGATGCCTTGCCTTTTCAGGATTCAGGGCGGTTCCCAAGGGGATTGGGAATGCAGGCCCCATCCTGGGCAGGCCCTGGACAGATGTGTCAGACAAGCCACTTCTTCTCCTCTGTGAGGAGACAGGACTTGGAGATGCAGCAGTGTCAGACATGGGCCATAGTCATGCCAGGTCCAGACATTCCTTTCTATGGAGAATTTCTATGAAACCCACTCACTTGCCATTCCAGGGCCAAAGGACCAGAGGTTTGCATATCGATTCTAAGTGTTTGATTCACTTCCTTTTGGTTTGGGGATCTTTGTTTTTGCTTGATTTTGCCTTTTCTTCATAGTTGAGTTTTATTACTATTATAAATATAGTTTTCAAAAATCATGTGCTTTCTAAAACAGAGCCATCCTAATCAAGGAAACCTTAAAGTGTTTGTACACGCACAACCCTGACCCTATTATCTATATTTTTAATACTTTTTGCCCAGTATTTACTCTACGTTCAATTACATGTCATTTACCATATAATTTGAGGAGGGGGTTCCCCTTGGATTTGGGCCTCAGTGTTACAAATCACTAGTGCTATTTTCATTATTGTAATGGAAAAGTATGTGAACTAGAATAAAGGAGTTTATTGAATAAGAAATAAGATTGGGCTCATTGCACACCAGTGACTCCTCAGGAAACCACTGCAATGTGATCGTCAGAAAGAAGAACCAACTGGCAGTTGATTCATTTAAGGTATAATTTACTAAACAATTCCAAATTCTATTACTTCCCATTCAGTTGTCTAATATATTCAGGAAGTGTGAGGCCAATCCATTAGATATGGAGCAGGAGATTTATACTCAGGTTGAGGCTTGGAAGAAGCCCAGAGAGGAGCCGCAACTTGCCTAAGCCACGCAGCCAGTAGAAGGCAGAGATGAGCCTGACCCCGGGTTTCCCGGCCACCAGAGTGCTTTGTTCATCTACTCCATCATTCAGCAGATGCTTGGTGAGCACCAGCAGTGGACCAGATGCTGGGCTAAAAGCCAGGGACACAGCCGAGAGCGATAGTCATAAGCCTTGCAGCAAAGGGAGACAGATGATGGAGGTAACCTGCAGATAGATGAAATGCACACATGTTGAGGAAATGCTACAAAGGAGATGACAGATAGGGCTGGGCCAGCCATGGACAGGATCTTTCTTAGGGGTCAGGGAGGACTTCTGGGGCAGATGACCTTCGAGCCACAACTTAGATGAGCCACAGGAAGAGTGTCCAGCAGCAAGATGAGCATCCCCCAGGCCCAGAAACCTCTTCCCCCAGTGCCCGCTGCTGCTGCCTGGTGGGGGGACCTGAAACCAGAGGCCATCCCCAGAGAGGGCCTTACCCCCACCCACGCTTGCCACTTACCCACACTGCTGAAGTCTCAGGAAAATGCTGAGCCCTTGCCCTTGCTCCGCTGCTTCCTTCGGCTCTGTTCCTGAACTTCAGTAGCCCTCAGGGTGTCAGGGCTCCAGGCAGGGGACCAGGTTTTTAAATCCCTGCTGTGTGGACCCAGGCAGCTCACCTCACCTCTCTGGGCTCTTCCTCAAGCAGAGAAATATCTTACACCTCCCAAGGTTACTATGAGAATAAGTGGGGTGCTTCTAGCATTCTGGGGGTGCAGGGCCTGCTGCTTCCTTGTTCTGGAGGCTTGGACACCCCCAGGATCTCCTCAAGCAGAGCTGGGGGTACACAGCCCCTGTAGCAGGAATCCTAGCATTTGATAAATAAGTCTCTGAGCACTTGCTGGGCATCAGGGACATGGGCTTCTGCAATCCCCCCCACACACGTAAGACAAAAAAACTCACTACGCAAACGTGACAGGAAGATTAGGATGTTGAGATAAGCAGAAAAAAATCATTTGCCATCCTACTTTCTGGAATGAATACTGTTATATTTTATTCTAGACCTTTTTCTATGAATATATAGAATATATATTTTGCAAACAGTATCATCCTATACATACTGTTTTCTTATAATCTGCTTTTGCATTTAACTATATATTGTGAATCTCTTTCCATGTCAACAAATATACATTTATCTCATCGCTCTACCTGGTTGTGTAGTATTCCATTGTGTGCTGTATCATACTTTGTTGATCTAAGGCCCTGTTGCTGGGCATTTGGGTTGATGTCAGTCTGACGTCGTAGTTACAGATAATGGAAACAAAACCAATTCTCTATAAGCAAAAAGAAGAAGAAGAATTTATTGGAATGCTATGGTGTGGCTCTTAGAATCTCAGGAAAGAGTAAACAGCCAGATCTCAAGTAGGACCAGAAGCCATGCTTGGCGGTACATCCCTGTAATCCTGGAACTCCGGGAGGCTGAGACAGAAGGATGGTGAGTTTGAGCAAATCCTAGGCAACTTAATGGTCTAGCAAGACCCTGTCTCAAAATAAAAAATTTTAAAATCACTGGAGAGTTGGCTTAGTGCAAATCCCCAGTACAAGAGGTAGTGAGAGAGAGAAGACAGGAAGGAGACGGGGAACAGGAGGAAAAGGAAAGGAAAGGAAAAGGAAGGGAAGGGAAGGGAAGGGAAAAAGGAAAAAGGAAAGGAGAAAAAAGAGAAAGAAAGATAGAAAAAGAGAAAGGAAAGAAAGAGAAAAAGAAAGAAAGAAAAAGAAAGAAAGAAAGGAAGGAAGGAAGGAAGGAAGGAAGGAAGGAAGGAAGAAGGAACCAGAAAGAGGATTTGGTAGCCGTGGATACTACAAAAACCAGAGTGTAAATAAAATTAAAAAAAAAAAAAATAACAACAACCAGAGAGTGGCCTCCTCAGGCCACCAGCATTGCTGAATCCAAGTTGCCAGACCCTACTATATCTCCTCTCCATGTAGCCTAGCCTGGGTCACAAGCTTGTCCCTAGCCAAGGGCAGGGCCAACATCCTGATTGACAGATCCACCAAGATCCTGTGCAATAGGTGACGGGCTATTCCCAGGAGGAAACAATGAGGTTTGGTACCAAAAGAAGGGGTGTGCGTGCCGGAGAGGAAAACAGTCGGAGTGTTGTGGTCTGCTTCGATCTCACCTATATCATAAAGAGTTCCGAAGTCCACCATATTACCCCCTCTTCACCCTTGTCCAGTTATTTCCTGAGTACCCACTCCTAGAACCTGTCTCCTCTCAAAGCCATTGTGCAGTTCCTCGAGGCCCCAGGCTCCCTTTGGGCCCATGTCTCTGTCCCCCTTCGTTCTCCCTAGCATCCTTGTCCTCTGCTTTATGGCTGGGAGCAGCTTGTAAAAATGAATATTTTAAAAGTTGTCCTCCAGGAGGGCCCTCACAGGTGGAGAAGTGTCATCCTTTTGGCAGTTTAACTCCATGCCAGGGATAAAAATAAGTAAAGCCCTAGGTAGGCTGAGTGGAGAGAGGCAGGAAGGGCTGAGTCATCCACCCAGAAAGTAGGAGAGAGCTGCACACTCAGCCTCCAAACTCCAGCCTTCCCTGCAGCCGCCTCTCCTTCCCAGCCGGCTCCGCACAGCTGCTGGCCTCGTTTGAAGCCAAGGATGGAACTACCTTTCGCAGCTGCTTTCTTCATCGATGGGTTTGATGCTGGTTCCTTCCAAAAAACCTTCACTGCCGCCTGCCTGCAGACACTGAGCCCCGCTGAGCCGCACACCCCTGCGGAGAGGCTCGTCCTGTTCCAGGTGCCTCTCTTGAAACGATTGCGTGTGTATTCAGACCACCAAATGCAGTAGGAAGAAAAGTAAAGCTGTATAATCTGATTTAAAACATCGTGAGATGGGGATGTGATTCTCAACCGTGCACACACCTGTAATCTCAGCTACTGGGGAAGCAGAGGCAGGAGGATTGAGAGTTCAAGCCCAGCCTGGGCAACTCAGCAAGACCGTTTCAAAATACAAATTTAAAAAGGTCTGAGGATGCGGCTCAGGGAGAAGGCCCTGAGTTCATTCCACAGTGCACCCCCTACAAAAAAAAAAAAAAAAAAAAGGCTTGCGATTTCCTTCTGCTCCCTTGGCCTTGGGAGATAATAAGCCCACGGGTGTTTGTGCTGGGTAGTTCCCCAGCTTCTCTGAGGGTCTGGCCTTGGAAGTCAGAGCCCTGGGCTCTCGGTGACTAATGCTTACTCATGCTGGGGGTGGGGTCCTGAGGCTATTCCTCGCCTCTGAAAATATGTTTGGTTTCCTATATTTGGAGCCGTAGTTTGATCCTGCTCAGCCTGTCTCTTAAGCCAGAGCTTCTCAAACTTGAATGCTTACATGAATCTCCTGGGGACCTTGTTAAAATGCAGGTTCACATCCAGCAGGTCTGGCATGGAGCCCGAGGTTCTGCTTTTCTAACAAGCTCCCAGGAGACGCCGCTGCTGCGGTCCCGGGACCACACTTTGAGTACCGAGGCCTCAGTGAGTGGCTCCTCCTTTGCTTTCTGCCCTTTATTTGTGTCCCTGGAACTATAGCTGATTCAGAGCAGAGGACAGGGGCTCAGGTGTCCATGTGCCGTCTATAGGCACACTGGCTGCAGGGGCACCGGTCCCGGAACAGGTGTGCCCGCCACCTGCGTCCTCGGCTCCCCCTCCACCGGGATGCCAGGACAAGACAGGCGTGGGCGGTGGAGGCTCAGAACAAAGCTGCCCAGTGGGACTTTCTGCAGATCCGTGCTGTCCAGTAGGGTAGCTGCATGTGGAGATGGAGCTCTTAAAATGTCACAAGTGTGACTAAGGAACTAAATTTTTAATTTTATTTCATTTTAATTAAACGTAAGTAGCCATGTGTGGCTCTTGGCTGCCGTTTAGACAGCACAGAATTAGAGCTTTGAATGCAAGGGCCCTGCCCATGCCCAAACGGTCCCTGCACCACCTGCATCATTACAAAACTAGTCCCAGCACAAAAGATATTGTGTGGGGACTCAAGGATTCCCTCAGACACACCTGGCTGTTTTTATGTTTATTCCAGCCCCGGACTGTTTTCTGCACAAGGACCTCATTTGCTTTGGTCTCGGCTTCTCTCACCCACAGTTTATCTGCCAATGGGTACATATAGGTCAGGTTACGCAGGGAAAGAGTAGGCAAGCATACCTCTGAAAGCGGCAGGAGCTGCATGCAGCCCTGCACTGCCTTTTCCCAACGGTGTGTGGCCTCGGAGAAGCCCCTTAACCTCTCTTGAGTTTGCCTTCTCCATCTGTGCACATGGAGCAGTTTTCCCAGCTTAGTCCGCTCCCCACCCCAGTAGGAACTCAGTTCCTCCTAGCAATGATTGGTATCATTACTATGTGAACTTCTTTATAAACTGTAAAACCTTGCATAAACATAAGGGAAAACACTGCTGTCAGAAATTCTTCTTTTTAAACAAAATGCTCTGAAACTTAGAAGAAACTACATCAACCAGGCCCAGGAGACAGCAAACTCTCCAAGCAATAAATCTGAACGTTTTCTGCTTTTCACATTGAGCAAGCATTTTGCCGTGAGTCCAGGCTCTACTGACATTGGGAAATTGGGAGGAAGATTTGTTGACTGTCCAGGGATTTGATTCCAGGGCCAGGATGCTCATGGAGATGCCCGGGCAGGGGCTATGGGGTTGAGGCACCTCTGCTGGGGTGCCAGATGTTGGGTCCGTTCCTCCTCTTCACAGAGTCCCTGTCCATCCTAGAGCTCTGGAAGGCACTGATGCAGGAAAAGCTGGCTCCATTTACAAAGAAGAAAAGTGAGGTCTGAAGAGGCTGCTCAAGGAAACCCATGTTCTGGCTTCTGACAATGTCTACTGCGGTCTCCCTGCCACCCCCATGCCTTCGTCTTCCCACCCTTGCAGAAATGACCCCAAGTCTGGGGTGGCCATGGTCCCACCCATGATGTGGACCCATGGCAGTTGTCCCAGGTAATTAATAGATCCCCTCTGCTCTCAGAAGTGCTCCTGTATGGATGACATATTATTTGGCTCCATAAGTAAGAACCAAGGTGACTCCACAAAGTGAGCCTCTGGTGCTCTGGGGAATAGTAAAGCCCAGCTGGGAAAAGCATGCAAATAGCCCAGTCTTTCCTTTGGAAACCAAGCTGGACAGTCCCCATGTCTCCCTCACACCGTTACCTTCTGCCCTTCTTGGGACTGTGCCTCCTGCCTGGACTCCACCACTGCATTGTCACCTCCTTCAGGAAGCCTTCCCGGACTCCTTCCTGCTCCTCCTTGACCCAGGCTTAATAGGTCCTTTTACCTGGGCTCCTGTCATACTCCAGAAGACCCAGATGTGCATAGGCCACACCTCAAGAGGGAAGGTTCCAAGATTCCAGGAACTTTGGCTTCTTTTCCTGGTATCCCCAACATGTTGTAGACAGAAATAAAGGTCACACTGGAGATTTGGGGATTAACCATCCACCTAGCCTCCTTCCAAGTTGCAAGCAGTTGGGAAGGGACCCAGGAACCAGGTAGGAAAATGATTGCCTATTGTATTGCTGAGTCTTGGCTGTCCTTGTGTGAGCCGATGGAGAGTCCAGAAGGCATGGGGGTTGGTTCATTCCATTAAGGGACAGGAAGGCCCCAGGGACATGAAGCACCACATTGCCAGTCACGTGGCCCTCTTGCCACACAGTGGCCTGCTCCCCTGGCTAATGCAGTGAGGGTACTGGGTCTCGTCCACTGAGTCCCCACCTGCCCCGTGGAGAGGGGAGGACATAGGCCAGCCTGGTTATCATTTTCCAAGTGGGTAAGTCTCCAGGGATGGGACCAAGATGCAGGTAGAGAAAAAGGGGTCTCACATACAGACCCCTCAACTTTCTCCTCTCAGCCTTTGGCTTCCCTGGCCAGCCTTGCAAGCATCCAAGCATCCAGGGGTGTGGCCATTTCCCAAAAATGGGCATCCAGCCCTGACTCTGGGAAGCCCCTCCCCAGATGGCTGCTGCTCCCTTGGGAGTTGCTGGAGACCAGGGCTGGGGCCTTGCTGTGGCCCCCAGAAAGGGATATCAGTAGGTCAGGGTTCTCAGAATGTGGACCACACAGCCCAGGTATAGAAATGCACATTCTTGAGACCTGCTGAACTGGCAGCTCCTGGGTGCCCAGTGGTCTGTGTGCCCACAAGCTCCCGGGTCACTCCAGTGCAGCTCAGGTGTGG